CACAGGGTGGAGCCAAGGACTGAAAGGATTGAAAGAGGAGGGGCCAAGAACTACAGAGAGGAGGAGAGAACAGGTGAGCCACTTGCATATCATAGTCTTTCAGCAATACTCAAAGAAATGGAAGACCGCCACAAACACCAGACATCAGTTAGTGGAGACATGCAGGACTATCAAGCAGAGGGACTTTTTGAAGATGCACCCGAAGGAACAGTGACATCTGCTGACTCCGTCCAGGAAGTACTGGATGAGATGGAGGATAGATGCAACAGAACAAGAGATAATCTCAAACAAGCTGTTCACATGACAAAAGAAGATTTCAAACAGGCTGTGGACTCATTGCAACAGGAGCTGGATGAACTGATGGGCAAACGTGAACCAATGCAACCACACCCAAGCCCACATGATTATGTCCAGCAGAAACAATACAAGCAAGTAGCTGGGACACTGGTCATGCAAGACATAGAATATCCAGATGATCAGTTTCAAGTTCTTCAAACACAAAGACAAAGAGGAGGAGAAGAACACAGATCAACAAGGGCATCAGGAAGGGCAGAAGCCCCAAAATTTGAGTGCCCAATCCTCATCAAGCAAGGTTATGCTCAATACACACCTTGGGCGAGTCAAGATCTGGACACTTTGGTTTCCCGTCTTCCAGACATTCATGAAGGTGCTGGAAAATGGATCAGAACATTTGAAGAAGAAAGCTGCTCAACAAGAAGAAAAAGGTCCAAGCAATACAGAAGGAGGACCACTCAGCAGTGATGGCACCTGTCAATACTTCAGTGCCTGTTAATCCACCTGCAACAATGAATGTGCCTGCACCAACAAATCAGACTGCAACAACACAGGCACCACCTGCTGGAACAGCCAATGCACCACAAGGACCAGCGCCAGTCGTCGTCTATCTCAAGTCAGAGCAGCCAAACAACAGAAGCTGGAACAGACATGCATACATGGGATTGGTTTGAATCACTTTTTGGGGCTTGGGGAGAATGGTTAACCAAAGTGGGGATCATAATAGGCATTGTCGTTGTTGTGTTTCTTTTACTGTTCTGTTGTATTGTGCCTTTCATCAGATTAATGCTGGCCAGTGCTGCAGCCAAACAGATGATTAACGTGTCAGTGAAGCCAACTGGAATTGACATTGGGTGTACCAGCGTGCATACAGTGGGACCTGGGCTGGATGAACTGGATGAATTTGTGTAAAACCTTCCTGAAAAACAACAGAGTGGTAGGGAAGGGGTGCCTTTTATTTTCTATTTTTTATTTTATCTGAAGCTGGAGGATGT